AGGGATCAGCTGATTCCATGCAGCTGCACTGCCTTTTAGCTCAGTCCTGTTTCCTACCTCCTTCCCTCACTCTTACAGATGATATAAGAGCACTGTCAAAGAACACTCTGCAAGCAGACCTTAGAGTCTCACATTCTGTTTCCCAAGGAATCTGACCTACATAATGGAAAATAATAAACTTACAGAAAAGGTTCCTCCTCCTCCTTTGCCTCTCTTTTCTTCCTACTAAAAGCTTATTAATATAGAGCCTGCCCTGGCTTGTATTATATATAATACAATTTCTAACACCCCATAGGCACTCTGTGAATGTTGATTGCATGAATAAATGGCCAGAATATGGTTCTAACTAGTAAGAGCCACTTTTTATGGACTTCAGACAGCCTACCTACGGCCATTCTCCTTCTACATTGAAGCCCATGGTCATCAGCTGTACGACTGTGGCCAAGCATGCTTAAAATTCTTCTTTCCAACCTGTTCCTCAACATTCTTGTTTTATTTTCTTTTTTTCCTCATCATTCCAGCTTGTGATTTTTATATCATTTCTTTCCCTATGTGCTTTTTTCATGCTTTATCTGTTTCTTAATTAGGCTAAATGCATTAATGATGATTGAAATAGTATATACATATCCTACAGATAAATATATTTGGCAAAGTCTTCCTCTACCTGCTCCAAATGCCACCACCCTAACCAACACAGTTATAGAAAATAATCATCACAATTAGTCCCCATTTGCTGTTTTATTCTGAAAATAATTTCTTACTGCAAATACAAGTATTGCATCATTTGCAAGGTGAGACCAAAGACAGTCCCTGCCTGTCCAAGTCAGGCATGGAGTGCTGAGCTGGGCATTGGATCACTTGACTCATCTAAAAAGAGTTGTAATGTTTTGCTCAGAAAACTTGTGGAAGCTCCCTCTCTGGAATTATTTTCTAAGTAGAAAAAAAATCTCATTTCTTGCAATATTTTAAAAGGGTTCTGGTTTAAAAGCAAAGACATAAACTTGATGACTTAGAAAGATGGTTTCAGTGATTTCAAGATTTTTGTGAATTTCATGAAGACATGTGAATATAAAAACTGAATATCCTTTAGCTATGGTTTCTTAAATTGCACTAGTTATAAAAATGTAAGTTCAGCTCTCCCAGGTAGTAAGTTTGTCAGCTAGGTACAAAAATGGAAGACATCTAACAAACTTAGGCCAGCAGCATTTCAGAAAAAGGCCCAAAAGAACAAATAGAATTAGGAAGGGACTGGTAGAAAAAATAAATCAGAGAGAAACAGCTCTGAAGTAGGTCTTGATCAAGATATCATTAGCTCTGCTTTCCTGGACAGCCAAATATTGAAAAATGTAAACAGCAGTAATGTTGTTAAAAGAAGGCCAGTTGTTGCTATCTTATTTTAATATTGCTGTGTTATTCTCCTCAGGCTATCATAATATAGCACCACAGACTGGGTGGCTTAAACAACAGAAATTTAGTATTTCTCTAGTTTTCCATAGGCTAAAAGTCCAAGATCAAGGTACTGGCAGGGTTGGTTTCTCCTGAGGACTCTCTCCTTGGCTTGCAGATAGCCACCTTCTTTTTGTCTTTTCACGTGGTCCTCCTTTAATGTGTCTGTGTCCTGATCTCTTTTAAAGACACAGTCATAACTTAATCACCTCTTTAAAGACCCTATATCCAAATATAGTCACATTCTGAGGTAATAGGGGTTATTCAACACATCAGTTTTGAGGCAGGGGACACAATTCACCCCGAACTGCTATCATTTTCTCCCTTCACTGTTCTTTCTGCCCATGTTTTATAAAACATTCCATTGTGTTTTTCTTAGAGAAACAACAGACCATTGTGCAGTTCAGTGAGCTCATTCAAACCTGTCCTTAAGGCTCCCAGAAGCCTCCTCGCTGAGTGAGGTCATGGCACCTCCTCTCCTTACCCGCTAGCTTTGCTCCAGTGTGACTCCTCTGTGCCCTAGTTCCTGCCTCTTTATTTCTCTTAGCTACACCCTAGCTCTCTGCTCCTGGGCTGCTATGTGGAGGTACTGTAAATATTCCTTGTTGATACAGATGATGGTATGTGAATGTGGATTAAGATCAATGGGGACAAGGCTGCCTCTTACATGCACAGTTGGTATCATTACTCTGTGGCATATGCCTGTGAAATAATGTGTGAGCTGAGGGTAGAGTGGGAGGAGTCATTGGCAAATTTGTAGTGTGAAGTAAGTTTTTATTGGTGAATGAGAACCGTGGAAGCTCTGAGTAATGTGTTCTTTTCCTCAATCCAATTTCCACATTCTGTGACTGGGAAAGGCAGGAGCAAGTCAGGATGAGCTTGACTCATGATGACCCTAGGAGGCTTTTGCTAAGGAAAGTGGTCACATGGACTTCACATGCTGGGTGGAGGCAGCCTCTTCCCAAAGGGGGAAAACCTGGCAGACACTCAGTGCTCAGTATGTGATTAATTGCTGTGGTGATAGAATAGTGCATACTGCCTCACCCGGAGCCCAGGCCCCATGCCTGCCTTTGCTAACTAAAGCAGTTGCCTGCTGTGGGCTGAATAGCTGGAAGTGAAACCTGGTGGGGGTGGGGGGTGGTGAGGAGAAACTTATAACACCCCTGTGCAGAAGACTGCACTTCAAATTCTACAGCCCTAGGGGCCAAATGTTCAAAAGTACATGACAAGTATTAGGATGGCAACCTCTTCATGACATTTAAAATTGCTGCCCACCACTCCCTGAAATGCCCTGTTCTTGCTTGAAGCTTCTCCTTCAAGGGCCATGAGTTTCCTGTACATCCTGGTTTTCTACCATCTGACCACTCTTTGCTGTTTTGCTGGCCTTTTACCCACTTCTGTTCCTTAGATGAGGGCATTCCTCAGCATTCACTTCCCATGTCTGTCTTCTTCTCTTCTCTCTTCTCCTTTCCTCTCTCTAGCAACCTCATCCTACCAAGGCAGTTCATCTCCCTAGATCTCCACAACCCAACCTCTACTGAGAATGCCAGGTCTGATTTTCCAAATGGAAGCTCCTTTAGGCAAGTTGTTCTCAACCTCAGCTGCCCTGATTAGAGTCACCTGGGAGAATTTTTTTAGTCCTGAAGCCCAGGCCAAACCCCTAGACCCATTCAATTAGAATCTCTGGGTGAGTGGAAATAAGGCATTCGTATTTTTTGGAGTCATTTTTAAGTCTCCCTCTTGAAGATGATTTTCTCTTTTCTGATCTCCCACAGTTATTTATCCAAACTGTTCTTAGAAACATGATTTTTTTTTTTTTTTGAAGTCTGGCTCAAGAACCAGAATCTGGGTCTCAAATCCTGGCATTGACATTTACTAACTATGGGAATTTTGTTCATCTGACTACGCTTCAGTTTCCTCATCTGAAAAAAGGGTGAAGAGAGGAAATAATAATAGGACTTAGCTCATAAGGTTGTTATTAGAAAGTAAAAGCCTAGATCAGTTCTTGGCACTTAAAAAAAGAGATAATTAGAAGTTAACTCTTATAGCTTTAAGTAGTCACTAGAATTTATGTTTAATCCAGTGCACTTATATAAAGATCACCTGAAATCACCTGAAGAGTGTTTAAAAAAAATGTTGCCTTGGCCAAGTGATTCAGTTGTTTGCAGCATCATCCTATACACCAAAAGGTTGTGGGTTCAATCTAGGTATGTGGGCACATAGCTAGGTTGTGTGTTCACTCTCCTGTTGGGGCACATATAGGAGACAACAGGATTTAAAAAAAAAAAAACCAAACTCTGCATTTCGTTTTTATTTTTTAGAGAGGGGAAGAGAGGGAGAAAGAGGAGAGAAACATCTATCGGGGGTTCCAGGCCCCCAAATCGGGCATGTGTTCTGAGCAGGAATCAAACCAGCAACCTTTTGCTTTACATGTTGATGCCCAACCACCTGAGCCACACTGGTCAAGGCAAAAATTCCTACCTTCGGGAAGCTTTCAGGTGATGCTGGTGCTCCTGGTGTGAGGACCTACCTGGGAGTATTCCTGACCTAATCCACCCCTGTACCACCTTCTGCCCATATTTTCAGCCCAGAAAGTCTCAGGAGGCCGACTTTGTGAGGTCTTTTCTAGGTTCAGACCTCAGAGGTCATTCACCAATAGCCAACTTGACCCATCAAGCTCCCTAGGTTCCAAAACTTGCCTGACTTATACTCTCAGAGCAGAGTCCTGATTCTTTTGTACCAATCCAGAGCTTTCAAGGAATAAATGGATTCTGAGGCAAGCATAATTCAAAAACAACCCCAACTCTGAATTAGAGGTCACAGGTTTGACCTGTGACCAAAACATTAAGAATGAGCAATGTTTGCTTTATGGGATCTTCTTTGAAAAAGGCCCTCTTCTCCTTTATATGACCTCAGAGTATCTAGTGACTGACCAGAGCCCACAGCTTGCTGTGTCCCTGTGGGTTTAAATCCCTCTCTCTGACAGGTTTTCTCTGTGAGGCCTTCAGTTACCCTTTTTTAATGAAGGAAGAACCTGGCTTCTCCCTCAGACAAGCAGATGCCATTCAGTGCATCTCCCTCAGGAGAGCACACAGCTCCTTCATGGTGCTCTTGACCCTGATTCTGGCTTCTATAATTAGATTGCAGCACCAAGGCATTTTTCTTCCTAGGAAGAGCATATATACCATTGTGTCTGGCCCTCTGCCCCTCTGCTGTTTACTTGGTTTGTCCCACCTCTATGCAGCCAAGGTATCTAGTTCATTACATTCTGTGTTTAAGCTGACTTTTTTTTTTTCCATTTTAGCTCGAGTTCATTACACTAAATACTGTACACATTATTATCACCTAAACGACTTTACTCAATCAGTTTTAATAGTAAGGTCAAGGCCCAGTGAGCTGGAAGACCAGCCCTGGAACTGGCTTTCAACCAAAACAGCCAACAGCCCCCTCCTTCTTAAATCAACATTGCTCCCAGAGGGATAGAGCTTTGCATCAGTGAAGAATGTATTAATTAAGGCAAATGAAAACACCCTCATTTGTTGTAATGAATTTAGTTCTTGCAGGCCATTTTCTACGGAGTTGCCTGCCTGGAAGATATGCTGAAAAGAATGAAAGGGAAAAAGGACATTAAGTTCATAACTGCCTTCAGAGACCTGCTTTTCACCACACTGGCCTTTCCTGTATCCACAGTGAGTTGCAAAGATGTATATGCAATACAATACACATGTACATGTGGGATGAACTCATCTCCTGGGTGGCAAGGCTGCTTGGGAGTCCATTATTGTAGACCAGAACAACTGTATTTGCATAAATGTTCTGAGGACTACATCACATTGTCTCATGTTTTCAGGAAACAGAGCCCATTACTGACAGACCTAGCATTAGCTTTTGTGCCTTTGTGAACATTTGACACAAAATCCATATTGCTGTCTAATGAAGTTTAAAGGACCTTTCTTAATCAAAATGGTTTCAGCAGGGCAATGGAGATGGAGAGTGCTGGAGAGAAAGACAACTAATTTTCCCTTTCATACATTTTGTTTCACTTGCTACAGTAAGTATATGTTACTTCTGCAAGAGGAAACCACAAAAAAAAAAGATATGAGAAACTTAAAGTTGGCACATGAAAAAGACAATTGAGGGGAGAGACAGATAATCTGTCTGAAATACCCACTGGGGGACACAAATACGGGGCTTCATTTGTTCTGTTGAATGATTAGACATTGGAAAGAATTAAGACATATGCAAGGGACAGTAGCTTGTTTGCTGACACTGTCCACGTTTCTGTAACATGCTTAAATTTTCATTCATTAGCATGGAAACAAACTGAGATCAAACATGCCAGCTGCTCAGCAGGGCCTATAATTAGGCATGACTACCTCCTTCCACCTGTCATTGTCCTACTTCTTATAGTACTGAGACTCAAAACTTAAATGCAAAACGAAACTCCCAGATAACAGAGCAAGTACTGGCATTCCAGTTTTGCTTTGCAGGACATCTCTTCTTCAGCCCCATAAATCTAAAGGCCAAGTTTTTAATAACAATGGAATTTACTCATTTTTTTTAAGGCCTAAAAATCAAGCCTTTGGAATTTAAGAAGATTGGAAGATTAATAGTTTCTTTTTTTTTTTCATCTCTAAATTGACTTTAATATAGTGGATGGACACTTTGAAAAGATAGCCAAGGGGTATAAGAGGGTGTGGATCAACCTAAACCTCTGAGCAATGGAGAGATTCAACTCTGTTAACTAGCTTGTGAGTGGTCCTGGGAGTTTGTCACTCCTCTCTCCCAGCCTTCCTATCTCCCCTTGCCATGTCTATGGAGAGGGTGGGCAAGGAAAGTGTAAGACTCAAGGTATTACAAATGGCTGCTCTCAGCACTCCTGGTGAAAGTGTAAAGAAAAGAGAAGTCATTGGTTCTTAGGGTATGAAATTTTTTCCTTATTTTACATTTTTATAATGTCTCTAAAACTGTGATCTATTTTTTGCTATGTTTCCTTTTTTATCTTAGAGAACTTTGATTGAAAACAAACCTAATGCTATTTTTGTCGTTTATTTTCCAGTTTGTATTTTTGTCATTCTGGATCCTCTTTCTCTATGATCGAGAACTTGTTTTCCCTAAGCAACTAGATGATATTGTTCCAGTGTGGATGAATCATGCAATGGTGAGTGAGGGAAAAATTTAGTGCCTATAGAAAGGCAATAACCTCTGTACTGAACTCTAAAGTGCCTTATTTATGTTTCCAAACTTTTCCTGAACCCCCAACATTCTGCTCATTCCTCCCTCTGCATCCTGTCACTATTTATTTAAAGGGCTCATTGAGGATATAAAATGAATAAATACTAGTACTGTAATTACAGTCAATGAGAGCACAGGGGATGACCAGGCAAGACCTTGCCAAGTTGCTCATGAAGTCATTGAAAAGACATGCAACCATAAGGGCAGGCAACTTCTTGGCAGCTGCAGTTGTGACAGAGAAATGACTTCAGCACGTAACATGTAATGAAAATTCTGGTCTAGAAATGGAATTAAGCAAGCTTTAAAAAAATCCACCCCCAACATCTAGAGAATATCTCAGAGCTCAGCAGCAGCTTCTTAGCTAACACGGGATTATTCATCTCAAGTGGAATGATTATTTACATATTCTATGAATGCATTCCTGTTTATTTTTATTCATGCACTTTTTTTTATCCTCACCCAAGGATATATTTATTGATTTTAGAGAGAGAGGAAGGCTGGGAGGGAGGGAAGGAGAGAAACAGAAACATCACTTTGAGAGGGAAATATCTATCAGTTTCTTCCCATGTGCACCCCAACCCAGGACCAAACCAACAACCTAGCTATGTGCCCTGACTAGGCATCATACCTACAACTTTTTGGTGTATAGGAACAGTACTCTAACCAACTAAACTGCAACATCTAGGGCCATGCACTTATTTTTAAAGGGCTAAATAGTAAACATAACCTGTTGTGAAATATATTCAGGTTACTAGCATCTGAATACCAGTAATAGCCACCTGGACAAGCAGCATGGCTTCAAGGCTGCGCGGGTCTTGGATGAAAGACAGGCCTGAGTCATGGGCACTATCTGCATGAAGAAATCATTCAGTGTCCTAGCTTTGTTGCTTCACACTTACAGATGTAGTTCCACATGAGTCATGAATTCAGAGTGAGGTTTCAGAGTGTGTGAAGCAAATGACATTTAAAAACCAGGGGAATCAAAAGGCAGTAGCATTGTCAAGTCTTCCTGAGATCACAGACTTTATTTGACCCTTCCATTGTCTCAACACGCATGATTACCAGTCAGGAAAAGCAGCTCAGTCCACCGACTGTCCCTCCAACATGCCTCACCCCCCAGTAAAAATGTACCTTCAGTTTAAATATGTGCTCAGTGAGATTAGTGATTACTGAGATATCCAAGTTCTAGTCTAATTCAGAGTTCAGCACCAAAAACTATTATGTTCAATAAGTCTTACCTTTCAGAGAGCTCCTCCTACTACCTTCTTTTTGTCTGACCACCTCTTCCAAGGGAAGTCTGCCCACCTTTCTAATTCCAATTAGTATTAATCTGAGACAACTATTAAGGGACATTACTTTTTTTTCATGGTACTTTATTGAGCATGTTCCTCAAATATGGGCTCATGTAACTCGAACAATTCAGATAACTATAATCCTGATTTATACAAATTAGGAAAAAAGTTCAGAGAAGTTAAGTGGTTTGCCTGGGGCCACAGAGCTAATAGGTGGGACACTAGGATTCAAATCCAAGGCTGATTCTGCTCTCCCTTGTTCTTTGCTACAGTAAGTGCAGGACTGTAGTCTGATCTTATTTTGTAATTCACCAGGCAATCAAAAGACTGCTTGGTTAACATAAAGTGAGAATTTTCACTTAAAACATCCAGAATCCCCATTTGTATGTTAATAAGCTAAAACATGACTTAAGAAAATTAAGTGATTTGGGACAACTGACTGAGCTAGATGTTACTAAAAAAAAAAAAAGAAAGAAAGGCAGAATCTTTCTTTTTTTAAAAATATATTTTATTGATTATGCCATTACAGTCCTTCTATTCCCCCCTTCATTTCCCTCCACCCTGCACACCCCCCCACTGTTCCCCCCCTTTAGTTTATGACCACATGTCTCAAGTTCTTTAGATTCTATGTCTCCCCTACTACTCTTGCTCTCCCCCTATCTATTTTCTACCTACCATCTATGCTACTTATTTTCTGTACCTTCTCCCCCCTTCTCCTCCCACTCCCCTGTTGCTAACCCTCCATGTGATCTTCATTTCTATGGTTCTGCTCCTGATCTAGCTATCCCAGAATCTTTCATTTGTGTCTTTTATTTGGGGCTGACCACATACATCACACCTTTTCCAGGCTTTGAGAGCTCATCTAGTAGTTTTCCTGCAACTGTTACAAGTTTCCTAGGTCTTTATGGTTCCATTTTCCAGATGGAAGTAAGATTAGATTTCTTCCAAATACTTGTTTTGGTGATGCCCAGCATCTGTGATCTTGTTAAACAGCCACACAGATTTTTAGTAATTGTAAAACAAGATAGCTGTACAAGGTACACCAGATCCAAGAACAAAGACAATACTGTACAATAGAGATCCTAAAATGTTTTTGTGCCTTCACAACCTGGTTTTTTTCTCTGCTTCTAGTCCTTTGGTCAATCAAGTAATCTGAATCTCTTCAAGAGAAGGGACTAGGGTCAAAAGAGATGGGACAATAGTGACAAAGAAAAGAGGAGGTGGCAACCTGTCTTCAGTCAGACATTGACTGATTCTGTTTGTTTACATGGACAAAATCCCAACAGAGCCATTTCTAGGGGACAATGTTGGCATCAGCAAGGCCAGCTCTGTGGTCTTCTCCAGACTTTCAGGCTTCCTGTTGGTGTTTGCTCCAAGTCCAGTGTCCTCATGACTGCATCTCACTCCTGTCTCCAGATTGTGTCCCTTATACTGGACATTTTCTATCCTCACTATTAAATTCTTCTGGCCTGTTGTGTCAAGGGATGCTTTCTGATAATTTCTTAAACACTGGCATAAAAAAATATGGAAATGGCTGTTACTGGGTCAATTTGCTAACACTTTCTACATTAACACTGTCCTTCCATGATAACCCAAAGGAATGACTACCCAGTAACCACCACTGTGGCAGCCAGAGTGACAATGGGCAGTCAGGACAGACATCTGGTACTAGTTGCCTACACATACTTGGGGTTGGCCCTGCTCTTAAAGAGGATTGCTTTCTGTACTGCTCCTTTTCTCTTCCACAATTTAAGAATTATTGGCTACATATTCAGTGTCATAATTTCCTGAAAGTTTCCTTCATTTCACAAAAGATTTATATTTGCTATTTTAGCCTTAGCTTTGAAATATCTTACCTATTGCCATTTGTGATGATGCCCTGAGCTTTATGAGTAGTATCTGTCATATTAAGAAATACCATTGTCCCCCTTGACAGAGAGCAATTCTAAAACTTTCATGATTTATCAAGTCTTTGGAATCTGGAACTCTCCAGTGCAAGCTTTCTAGCTCACTGGAGATTTGTTGTTGAAATAGGACAACTCAAAGCTGACTTTTATCTTAATGGACATTTTTCTACCTTTGTTTTGTATTCAAACCAAATAGTAACATCGGTGAAACATTTGCATCAACCATGGACAAGCTGCCTTCACTGGTGCCCTAACACTCCCATTTGAGCTGGCTGCCTTTTTTATTTCAAGTCAATCAACCTGATGTTTTACTGCTAAACAGTTCTCTAGTCTTCATGACAAAATGGGAAAGTACAGCAAAGTATTCTCCACCTTTTCCAGAAAAAATTAGCTCCTCAGGTCTTATCTAAATGACTACTAAAGATAGAATCAGAGCAGATGATTTAAATAGCAGGAAGAGGACCCAGTAACTGAGGACACTATCAGATGGTAACCAGAAGGGAGCTGGGGAACTTATTTCTCAGAAGATCAACCTAAATTGTTCAGGTTTCCCCAAAATAGGGGTAAAATATATCAGAGAACCCCCCACAAACCTCCTCTATATTAGAAAATAATACATGATAATGAAGAATGTGATGCAACTACTTTGTAAACTATCAAGAACTGCATAAATATGTCACTGTCGTATAAAACTCTCAATCCATGAACAGAGTTTTAGAACTGAAAAAACTTCATTGATATTAATAGAGGACTACTAACAATTTGCTCTTAAGAATCAAGCCCTACGTTGGCTCTATAAATTGGAAAAACATACCAAATACAGCTACTTTGTTATTTAATGTGTCGCTTTATCACTGGAAGAAATAATTATTAAGTACCTACTGTGTGCGTAGCACCATGATTGATATTTGACAAGGGTTTTGATTTCTAGCACCCTAAATCTGGGTGAACCTAGTATATACACACAACATTGAAGCAATAAGATAACAGTTAATACTAATATAAGGCATTGATATAGGTGGTGGCATGCAGTGGTGTGTGGTTACTGCCAAATGAAAGACGTGGACAGGGAACACTTCATGCCCCTTGTGTTCTGACCTGGATGTGACCAACTTGTGGGTCATGACTGAACAATGTGAAAGGCCTTAGACTTCTCTCCAGGATGTAGTGGGGCATCAAAATGACAAAGGAGTGAAACTCTAGCCCTTCCAGTTTCTTTCTCACCCATAGTGTGCAAGATGCTATCTATCATTAAATTCAGGCCCAATCTTAGATTTTTTGTCTCTCACCTTGATGTGAAATTGTTGGGCAGCTAAATAGAGTTAGGTGAGTCCTGATGAGTAGAGAAGGCCAACTGCAGGCATATCAGTGCTAACTGGCCACCTTTTGTCCACCAACATTACAAAGTCCTTCTGCACACCTTCCTGGTTTTTCAACCCAGCCCTTCATCTGGACAGAGGAGACTCACGACTGAGATAACTGTGACTAGCTCAGTTGTTTTCAACCTTCACAGAGTAGACCCCTCTGTGAACCTAAGGAAATCTATGGACCATTTCCCAAAGAAACACAAATACCCATAACATTTTGTGCACTATTTTAGAAGGTTTATGGACCCTCAAAATTCTATTTATGGGACTCAGATTAAGATCTCCTGGTATAACTGAGCATGTACTTGAAAAGAGAACCCCCAAATTATTGCTTATTCTGAGTTCATATAAAAAAGACAA